AGAGAGAGAGAGAGAGAGAGAGAGAGAGAGAGAGAGAGAGAGAGAGAGAGAGATGGAAAACTGGCGCCACTTGGGCGCCACCATGTGCCCACGCCCTCTCTTCAGGAGGCCATAGTATCAGCAGCTAAGCTACCGTTCTTCAAGAATTATTTTTATGTGCCAGGGAAATGATGGCCAGAAAATTACAACAATTAGCAAACCGTTAAGAAGAGAAAAACATAAATATGTCTCTGAATGTTGCAAGTTCTCTGTAATAATCGTCACAATTTGCTTCTGTTTTCCGGGTGCCACCGTTGCACGTCCACTACACTATCATTCGCACCCTCTCTCTCTCTCACACACACAAGCGGGCGCGCGCACACACACACACACGCACACACACATCCACGTCTCTCGACATGCAGACGGAGATGATTGCCACGGCGGCAGCTCGGCAGTCACTTTGGATTTGTAAGATCCGCAGTCCATTAAAAAGTTACGCGCAGGCGCAGTTAGTTATATTGTTGGGCCGCCGTGTGTGTGTAGGTGTGTGTGTGTGTGTGTGTGTGTGTGTGTGTGTGTGTGTGTGTGTGAAGGTGTGTACATGTGTGTGTGTGTGGAGGGGAAGAAGCTGTCGGGGAGGTCAAGGTCACCACCTTAATCAGGGCTTCTGTTTACAAGCGCAGCGAGTCGCTCTGCTAATGGACCAGGGCAGCAGCGGTCTAGTGGGAGGAAAGGGGAAGAAGGAAGGGAGAGGGGGGGGGGGGGTGAGCGGTGGAGCAGCATAGATTAGGGGGGTATAGTAGGTAAGGTACTAATTTGTGACTTAGGTCCGGGCGAACCCAACGGAGAGTGGAGCGATAGCAGAGTGCAAAGAAGCTTCCGGTATAGGTCCGTATCGGCGGCGGAGGGACATTGTGTATGGTTTTTATCACACGAGGTGTGACTATTTTTACAAACTTACTCGCTTTGGCAGACCAGCGTGGAGCGAAAATCATTAAGATCAATTTAACGCGTTAACGTTCTGTCATTCACTCTTTTGTGTGATCCAATAATTAGCTCTGTCATGAACTTTCAACTTGATCTGTTGTGTGGCGTTAAGTTCGCACTGTTAATTTCGTAAATTACAAAGGATGTTGATCCTTTGGAACTACGATAAGCATTTACTTTTCAATTTTAAAGCGATATGCTTTGCAGCATTTGTTAATCATTGGAAACTCCTCTTTAGTTCAAGGTGCCATGCACATCAAAGAAGGAAAAACACGAAAACTCAAATTTGTCTCGCTCAAAAACTACAACGAAAAAGTAATAATAATGAACTAGTTTGTAACGTAAATACTTACGATCGCAGACTTACATTCCACCGGCCTTTTTACAAGACAACCCGGGGGGCGTATCTCCCTACTTCACGCCTACTTGACTCGCCGCCGTTTTGCCGCCACATCCTTCTTTTTCGCTCCTCTTTCGACCCGACACATACACGACTCTCTCTCTCCCTCTCTCACAAACTCACACAATCAGTCTCACACACACACACGCACTTGTTCCGCCGGTGCGCGGCTCCTTCCTTCCCGCGGCTCGTCCTCTAACAAGCCTCCTCCCCCCCTCCCTTCATTATCGCCCCCCCCCTCCCCCCGGGAAACGCACTCCGCGAAATATAATCCAGCGGCTATCTCTCTGTCTCTTTCGCACCAACACCACCACTACACAGTAGTTGTAGGTCTCTCTCTCTCTCTCTCTCTCTCTCTCTCTCTCTCTCTCTCTCTCTCTCTCTCGCTCTCTCTCTCTCGCTCGCAGTCTGTCTGACTGCCCCCTAATTGAATGTAGCCCACAGCCGACAGCCGACAGCTTCCGCACGGCCGCCACCTCCACACAGCCATGGCTCCTACCACGGCATAGGTGAGAGCGGGACAGAGATAGCTGTCAACACTAATTCGTTTTTACAGCAGAGAACTAATAGTTCCCCGCGGGGAGGGAGCTCTCCGATCACCCCCCAGGGATGGTACGATTGTGTACTAAACACAGGTCTAGGAAATAGATTTGTTCCAAGGATACTTACTTGATTCAAGATCGCGTGACGAAGGGACATATTTTTACCAATTTTCCTGGAATTGCCCTCACACAGGCTACGGGGCTACGCTTCAATAAACACGCCTTTGAGTGTCTCTGATACGTAGAGGGTGTCTGAGTCCCTTCCATTTTTGTTGTGTCGGCAAAGCTTCCTGTGCACGTTGCGACTACGTAATTGCCCTGGGCTCTGCCAATGAGCCCCACCACCACCAGCACCACCACACTCACCACTAACCCCATGTCTCTTTGTCTCTCTCCCCCCCTCTCTGTTCGGAGATGTCTGCCCCTGCCCCCACGTATTGGCATGTTTTCTAAAGCGTTATCATCAGGAGCCGACCCCTCTTGTTTGTTGTGTTCGACGTTCGACTTACGGCGTCCGGTCCCCCTGTCTGTTGATTTCACCGACTAATGACGAGTGTATGTCTGGAGAGAGAGAGAAAGAGAGATGATAAAGACTCGTGCTTCCTTTCGCGTAATCGCGTTCTTTCAAATTTGTACAGGACTCGCAAAAAAATATCACACCCACAAAAGAACTTATTTTTGTTTAATATTGAATTGGTATTGTTTTGTGTGTTACATCGGCGATGTCAATGACCTCTAAAAGACCCGCTGTGCCACTGTGGGGAAAAAAAGAAAATAATATCGATGTCAGAGGTAAAGCGCGAGCCGCGTTAATTGGCGAACTGGACCATCCATTCTGAGGTCCGCGGGTGCCGGCGCGGGGCCGCGGCTGCGGGTTGGTGACCGCCGGGAGTTTGGCGCAGAGCGAGAGAGCGAGAGAGCGAGAGAGCGAGAGAGACCATCAGCAGCGCCACCGAGTGAGGCCCTACCTGGACCTCTTCGGGAGGCTGCGCCTCTGACTGGACTCCTCCGGCCCAGGACCCGTTTGGCTTGTCGCGGCCGACCGTGCTGCGCAAAGAGCAAGATCAAGGATGACCCCGCCGCGCCCCGCGTCACCCCGCCCCGCCCTTCCCTGCCACGCCCCACCACGCCCCGCCCCGCCCCCGCCTCACCCGCGTTCCTGTTCCGCACGCATCTCGTCCGCCGGGCGGTCGCTCCAAGCCAACACAGCCCGAGCAAGCGCGCGCGAAAAACAAAACGCAGTGACGCCAACCGCAGCAAATGAAACTGGCGGCTAAATACCAACGTAATGGCAATAAAACTGGAAGGACGCGGGGCCGACGACGCGGGGCGAGGTGGCGGCTGGCGGCGAGGGGGGCTGGCGGCCGCTCCTCCTCCAGGGCCTTGTGGTCCATGTCCCCGCGCGCACAGCATCCACCCCGGGGAGAGGAGGGAGGGGGGGGGGGTGGAGGGTACGGGGGGCCCCTTCCGACGGGACGGGTCGGACCCCGGGGGGGGCCTAGGTACCCGGCGCGCCGGCTCTGCGGTGCCAGACAGTAGGCAGGTCGGGAGGCTCTCGCACGCGCTCCGGTCTTGTGTGCAGCCTGTTCGCAGACATGGGTGAGTAGTACTCAGGCCGCGGGGGGTCGCGTCTCCACAAACTCCCTCACATTGCAGTTTGCGTTTTCTTTTGTTGTTTTTTTTTTCTCCAAATTAATTACAATTTTTTGTTTTGTTATGCGGTTGGAGTATTTTTCCCCCTCGTGTGTTACTGTTGTTTACTGTTGTTTTCAAACTTACGTTCCTAAAGCGAGTCCGATGATAAATCGGTAACCGATATTTTCGGCTCGGTATTTTCTCTACGTCGGGGGGGGGGGGGCGTGTAATTTTTTCATAGATACAAAAAAAATACGACAAAGAAATGAGACTATGCTTATTTAGCAAACTTCAGATCAATCAAACTTGCCTCGCTTCCTATGAATGGCGTGTCCCCAGGCCAGCAAAAAGCAAAACCACAGGAACTTATTTTGTGTTGGGGAGACGAGTTGGTGGAGGAAGTGTGTTACGGGGTTTATTTGGACAATATGAATAGCGACGCCAAACGAAAAAGACCACCTGTCTCGTGCGGTGTAGACTCACCAGAACGTGTAGCGCAACGGACGCAAATACAGGAAACCCAAAGTGTCCGCGAGTGTCGCAGGCTTGTAGGCGTGCGCGTTTTACACTTGTACACCTTTTGTACACGCTTTTAGGTAACAGTTGGTGAAAATCCCAAAGGAAAATTCGCTCACACTCCCAAATGCGCGACGTTCACCAACACGTCTGCAGTGTGTTAAACACCCGGTATATATATCCCGATCTCGTTTGGCGCGTGCAATATAAGTTGCCTCGCGCGCAGTGTGCGTCGTGCCTCGTCGTGAGCAGTTCGCAAAGTGATTCAGCGAAGCAATCTCCGGCCTATCCCGGCCCGGGCCGGCTGCAATCCCCACGTGACGGGGCCGCATGTGACAAGAAGTGCACCCCAGCGCACCCCAGACAGGATGCCATTGCCGTAGGGGTCGAGAGAATCCCTCATACAAGTAGGATATTTACCACTCTGCTCGAGGCGACTTTATAAACCATGCTACTTCCGATCCTTTGTGACGACGGGATATACGCTTTTGTGCAAAATTACAACCGCACCTATAACCGTTCTTTAAAATGTTTTTGTGCAAAGTTGAACCTACGTTTTTCGTTTTAGACCTAAGTTGAGTGTGAAAAATTTCGTCCACACGAATGCACAATGTTCCAAACATCACAGAAATGTATGCAAAAACCATTGCTTTCTTAAACTTGTAAAAGTAAAATCCAATTGGTGTGAATGGGCAAGTGCTCACTGTAGGGCTGCTCACTTGCAAGTGTTTACCGGTTGAACACGTCTTGGTTGATTTATCTCTGTATACAAAGAGTGTGTCGGGTGTTTTTTTTTTGTAAGTAAATTTTTGATGTTAACTGTGATGTAAGAAAAAGTCGTGGGTTAACGGGAAAAATTTTCACAGCGTGTGTTGTGAAATTATAATTTCAATTTACAAGCAACCCGCTTCGACTTGGGATTGATCGACAAGCAAGAATGTGGCTGTCACAAATTTACAGCATACTTTCTGAATAAAAATTACGACAAATGTTGTAATTTTACGACGATATTTTTCGAAGTGTTGTAAACCCTCCC